CTTTTTTTTGTTTAAAATTTTACAATGTTTTATTTTAAAATTCTTAAAACAAAATATTTTCAAAATTCAATTTAATTTCTTAAATTTTTCTTTTCTCACCATCTCATTTTCCCACCATTTTTTTTATCACATCTAAAAATTTTTTTTCTTTTTATTGTTTGTATTTGTCTTCCTTTCCGGATTCTTTTTTCTCTTCTTTCTTTTTTTTTTAAACTAAACTAACTACAACTAGCAAAGAAAGATCGATGTTATAGTGTTTGTTCATATTGACTTAAGGAATTTATTTATCCTTTTGTATTGAATATTTTGTTGGCGTCATGTTGACGATCATTTGATAGTTTGGTAAACAAATAAAGTAAGTAAAGTATACAATACAGTAATGGTTAATAGAACAATACAGTAATGGTTAATAGACCTTTTAATCATAGGAAATTAAATTTTCATTTCTATTACTTCTAACAATATTTATTTTATCAATTTATAATTGCTATAATTTCCATAATCTCCTGTTAATTATCATTTTATCAAATTTCATTCATCGATTAATCGTATTTTTCAAGAGAAAAATAAAAAGGAAAAAAGAAAAATTAAAAAAATGTAAAATTAAAAGGTTAGCAAAAATGAATTCTGTATCATAAAAATAATGTTGTAAATGAGAAAAATAAATTTTGATAAGCTTAATTTTGAAAATGAATTTAAGTTTGAGAAATGAGTTTATTGTTTAATTAACCAGTTAATTAATGATTGGTAAGTAAATAATTAATTACTGTTGAATATATTTTGGAAAAAAAAAAGAAAATTATCTCTAATCCAGTAGACTGATTTATAATCTTTAATAATTTTAAGCTAATAAAAATTGTAAAGCTTCAACAAAATTAACTGAATTTTCGGTTTAAATCATTAAAAATATATTTTTATGAATTCTAAAATATAAAAAACTATAAAAAAAACATATTTATTTGGGCGCAAAAATTACCTCAATGAAATTTTAAAGTAATTGGTTTGAGGAATTTTAATATTTTATTTAATTTGCACGCGCAAATGTTAACCTGATTTTTAATATTTTGAAAATAACTTCATCTTTTAAATGTTCATATAAAATCATTTACCGAATAAAATTGCAAGTAAAAAGGTGATCTTTGCAGGAAGCAGATGCAAAGTTGCAGTTTGCAGGTTGCAGGTTGCAGATTGCAGGTAAACATCTGTTTTAGGATTGGAAAAAATGTGCCAGATTAAGGACCCAATAATGGCGACATATGTTTTCTTCATCATATTGCAAAGACAATTTGATTATTGCCAGCTTTGTTTATTTCCTTTTTTTTCCCTCCCTTCCCTCTTACTCTTCAATTACGTATAAGTAATAATGTCGCTAAAGAAGTTTCTTTTTTTTTTCCCCAAAAGTATAATGAAAATTTAACCATCAATTGGATATATCAATTGTTGTGACGCATTGTGACACATTGCGACAATGTCATTATTATTAAAAGCGCAGAAAATTTCTGCTAATATTTAGCTTTTAGCTTATTTTAAAATTTTTTACTTTAAAATTTTCCTTTGTTTGTCTGATTTGAAGCATTGCAATTTTTTTTTTTTTTGCAATTGAAACGATCTTTATCTCAGCATTTCCAATATTTTTACCAAAAAAACAAAAGAGATAAGCGCAATTGTCCAAACTTGAACCAAAAAGTAAATACAATTGAAAGAAACGTGAAATCAGGAATGAAAAAAAAAATTACATAAAATAAAAGTTGCAACACATATTATAACAAATAAGAGATATTTATTTAAAAAGAAAAAAGGTAAAGTAGGCATTTTTGAAGTAAAACATTTCTGATTAATTTAGGAAATTTTATTAAATGATATAATTTTATTTCGAAAAAAAACAAAAACTTATTTATTAAAATGTCTTTATTGAAAAAAAAATTTGATTGTTAACAATTAAGGGTCATTTTAAATTTGTGTCAAATGTTTTATTAATTATTATAAATCTTATTATTAATTACTATCAATTGTATTGTTTAATTGATCGAAAATTTGTCAACCTATATCATACAAAATATATTTATATCTTCAAGTATTTTTTTTTCATACCATTTCAATTTATACAATTTAAATTTGATCAAAATACAATACCTTCAAAAGTTTTCATCGTTTAATAGTATTAAACATTAATCATTAATCATATGTTATTTTAAATGATTTTAAACTTGTAAACAAAAAAAAAATTTTTTCATAAATAATATACAATCAGATTTGTTTATTTAATTTTCATTTCAAATTACATTTGATTATTCAATTTTCATTTCAAATAGTTCTAGTAAATGATGATGACGAATGTAGGCACAATTATTGGTTGATGTTTTATAATTTGAATCATTTCTCCTCCATGATATTATATTTTCTTTATTTTCAATTGTATTAACCGACGAATTATTGACAAGTTCCTGAAAAGTTTTAAAGAATTAAAAAAAAAAAAAAGAAAGAAAGAAAGAAAGAATCTGAAAAAATTATAAATTATTCATTTGTTTTATAGAAATATAACGTTTTAATATTATTTTACAAAAATATAAAATACTTTAAAACTTGTTATATTTCATTTTATGCAATTTATAAATTTCAGTTTTCTCTCTCTCTCTCTCTCTCTCTTCTTTTTCTATGAGAAATTTTTAGTTAATAATCATATTATACATCTTATGAAACTTCAGTTTTTTCTTCTCTCTCTCTCTCTCTCTCTTTCTCTTTCTCCTTCTCTTTCCCTTTTTTTTATGAGAAATTCTTATTTAATAATCTTATGATAATAGTATTATTTATGAATTTTCAATAAGCTAAAAATTGTTTAACTTTAAATTATTTGTATTAACATTAACTTATGATAATAGTATAATGCTTTGAAAAAGAATACAAAATTTATTTTAATAAATTTAATTTACTTCTTCAACTTATCAACTAATTTGTTTTAATTCTTTATTGTGAAATTTTCAATTAATTGTAAAACTACAAAAAAAAGTTAATGCTAATATAAGTAATTTAAAATTAAACAATTTCTTAGCTTGCTGAAAAATTCATAAACAAATTAAAAATAATGAGGAATTAATTACCTGAAGCTCAGTAATGTAATCAATAACTTTTTGTAGTAATTCCAGTAATGGTGTATGTTCATTAACAAATGGTACTATCCGACGTAATTCTTCCAAAACCTGTTTTCGTTCATGTCGTCTTTTTGACCACCTGACAAATTTTGTTGTCCTCGATCGAACTGTTTGAATTGTTGTTGTTTTTGTTGTTATTATTACCATCGTTTTGTAATTTATTTATTGAATTGAATATTAATACTGTCGTCAAGAGTAGTTATCGAGATCCCAACATTTCAAAATTCTTTTCTTTTTTCAATTTTCTACAACAACAATATAGTCATTTTGATTAGATCTTTGCCAATGAGAAGAGTTAAATTTAAATTTAAACTTCAAACTTAGACATATAATTGAAATAATTTAAATTTCATTTTTAGACATACCGTAATTTAAAAAATTCAATTTGTGGTTGAAAAAAAAATTGCACAAAAAATCTTGGCTAATTTAAATTGGCCAAAATAATTGTTTAATAGTAAATCCAAAAATGTATTTGTTCGCCGAGCTAAAAATAGAAAGGAAAATTATTTTTGAAACTTTATCGCTCAATATTACAACATTTTACTAAATAACACAAATCGATTAGGCTTAGACAAAAATATGCCTATCATAGATAAACATATTCAAATGTTACAAGCCAAGAAAATACTTTCCAAATACTACTTTGACACTTTTTTTTTTTTGAAGCCCACAGGCCAGACAGTAACATCCTATTTTCTGATCAAGTAATTGATGTTTCAAATCTTTATTATCAATGAATTTAACTTTCGCCCTAACTTATGCAATTGGCTTATTGTTATCTAATTAGCAATTAAGATAAGATATTAGCAAGGTTTTGAAATTGTCCAATCATTTCAGTAGTGTTATCATCTTATCACTAAGATAAATGAATGGGGAAAATGCTAAAGTATTGAGAAGAAACATACAGTAATGAATTAAATTCGTACAAATAACTACACTAAAAATTCATATGATACCGAGTAAAAATCTAATGGGATACATAAAACATTTTTTTTTCCACTTAACTTAACCTTTGAACTCTTATCTAATTTGATATATCACGATAAATGATCACATTTCGTTAAAGATTTAATGAAATGAAACCAAGAAACATAATTAAACAACACAAATAACTGGGTACAGATTCAATCATCTTATATCATTATATGAAATTTTTGATGAACTTTAACCTTGCCAGTTACTCTCTTTAATTATTATAAGTTAGGTTAGCGTATATTTCAGGTTTCATAATTAGATGATAATTTTTGCAAGGATACTCCTTACATTGCTAATAGAATTGATAAAAATTAAAAGATGAAAAGAAGCATATCTTATAGTAATAAATGGGTTGAATATAATATTAATAGTAATTTAATAAATTTAATTCTTACATTAAATTAGATTTTTTTTTAAAAAAAAAAAGTTTTGTTACTTCACAAAAATGGAATGATACAATCTAGTATGAATGGATGTGGACAAGGCTACAAGAAAAGCCCATAAGAGACAAAAACAAAAGGATTTGATGACAGCTGTTTCATCCTCAGCTGTTCAATTCATTCTAGGAGTTATTCAAAAAGAGAGAAAAAAAAAAAAGAAAAAAAAAAGACCTAGTTAAATCTGTATCTGTATCACAGATGTGTGCCTTATTTATCAAAAAAGATTAGAAGAAAATAACCCTCCTATATGATCCTAATAATATTTTACGATGCGCGCAATCTGCATAACAGATGCAACTTCAACAAAATATTATTATCATTTACTATTATCATAATTATCATAATATATCAGTACAATATCCATGTATACTGTCAATTATTAATTATAAAATTAAATGTATTTCATACATTATTAGATGTTCTTTCATTTTAAACTTTTTGAAATTTTCATTCATTTCTTAATTTTTATCCAAAAAAATTTTTTTTTTCTATTTATTAAAG